TGTAGATTGGCGTGACAATCGCTTCTTTCCAAGCAGAGGGAAGGCTGCCTTCGTCAAGCGACTGACGAAACACCATGTGTAAATGGTTTGCCGGTGTGTAGGACGTTTCCTTCAGGATCCTTGGATGGACCTCGTCGGGCCCCAACGCGCAGAATGGGTTGATCTTGTGCAAGAGTTGACGAATGTCCTCCACCGTGTTGGTGCTTCGATTACTGGATGGACACAGAAATACCACATACTTACTCCTTATGTATTAGTTTAAGGCCTTCTCAAATATCATGAAGGATGAAAAGGAAAGAACCCCATATTTTTCAACAAATGCGTGTGAATCCACTTCCGAAGCCATTACGGGCGAAATTTAAAGGAGATTGATTGAATCAGCTTGCAAAAGAATGACTGAAGATGAGGATGATGTTTGATTTCGGCATATATGCAAAGAAATACATGATTGTGACATGAAAATTTTCATTTCACTCGCAAGGGTTTTGCAGAAAAATGTATTGTGCTTCTAAGGCCTAGTGCAAACGGCCCGTTCTACTGGCCAATGGCATGCTGGATTAGCTTCTCGGCCGCAGCGAGGCCTAACTGTGAACGGTGAATGGGTTTTGGTGCGTACAACCAACGCCATTTTTCATAGAAAAAGCCTAGCATCCTCCCGTCCATAAATAAACCCACTTCTCGTCTGGGGGAACTGTCTTCACCATCCTACTGCAAAGGCAGCGCTTTTTCTTACCTCCAGACTGCCTCGTACGAGACAGTAATACGTATTACGATTTTCGTACCTCCAGACTGTCTCGTACGAGACAGTAATACGTATTACGATTTCTCGCAGCGTGGGTACTCGCTGTTCCCCGCCAGTCTACTCCCAGTGGGACCCTCTGACGTGGTTGAACCTTGGGAAGCTTATTTCTGGCCAGTGCAGTGTGCAAGAGCACTGCAGCACCACGTCAGGCTGGAGGTTCTAGCTCGGGGGTGGATTACTGTGTTCACCGGATTTTGTCAGACAGAGTCGGCAAATTCTTCAACGAACACACCTAAGCAGCGTTAAGTATTCATTCAAAGCTCCAGTTTGCTAAGATTAGACGCGCTTTGCAACTGATGTATTTGGATTTTGGAGGAAGACCCCTACATTTTCATGACCCTAACTCCGATTTAGGGTAAGTGTAGGACGTACTTCCTGCCAAGTTAGCCTTCAGCCAACTTAAGGAAACGAGTGTTGGAAGGAGAATCGTAAAAGATCCTGCATCCGTCTAATAAAGTTAATTTACAGTTAATTTACCACATTTACATGTCGTACCCATGTAGGTTTTAAATTACCCCCCTAACCAAGGTTTCATTCGAATCCAGCATGCGCTGGCCCACTCATACTTAGATTTGGCTGTTATGTTCGAAATTTCCTGAGGGAGTGATTTTTGAACACGATTTCGCTGGAATCGAACCGAGTGGTCTCTCTGGGACATGGCCTGTGGCTGAAGTAAAAGTATGACTCGATAAGCCTGAACAATCAATTATGAACATAGTACGGTAGGAGATTCCGGAAACAAATGTCACACGCCATGCTATCCGCATTTGTACCTGTGTTGAGGTAGTTGTTGGTTGTTCACCGAACTTGACAGTTGGATTGCAAATAGTTCATCACGAATGGTGCTGACATCGTCAGTGCGATGTTGGCTAGGTGAAGTGTGCTGTGTGTGTACTGACTGTTGCGATGCACAGTAGAGAGCTGCGGCTGAAATACTGACCGAATTAGTCCAAGTGCAGCTGTTATAAACAGTGGAAATCCATATGGAATCTGATGAGCAATAGACGTGGTGCGACTTTATGCAGTTCTTCGTCTAAATGTCTCCTCTAATGGTGAAATTGATCATCATCGACAGCATACATCAGAGTTCTAAACTGATGCCCCACTGCCGTATAACCATTATTTATTCGAAAGCCCTATCGTAAGGGAAGGAATAGAAGTGGACAGTGACTCGGTGCCAGCCTACCAGAAATTTCGAGGCTCCTATACCCCCCAGAAATTTGTCGAGGCTATCTGGCTACAAACTGCCAACAAGAACGCCACTGACAACGATTAGCAGCCATATCTTACAGGGTCCTCGAACAGTGAAAATCCTGGAGGGCTAGTCGCGCCGAGAATAGCCATACTTTTAGTAATCGATTCCATTTGTATCTTCTCTGTCAAAGGTCAACCAACGCTCTGATTCTCCCACACTCAATCGGGCGCGGAAAACAGCACACTCTCCGGCAAACTATTCTTCGGCATGCGCTATCTCCTGTCTAACCGACACAGGTTCTGGTGCTGGGCATATTCCTCGATGGATGTCCTAGCTGCGCAAACGAACATTCGCTTTCTAATTGCCTCGTTAGTGAATCGCCGACATCAACCCGCACGAGCTATGGTCCTAAGGCAACGCTTGTCGAACACCTTAAGACGTCTCAGTTCCTATGGTTCTAAGGCAACGCTTGTCGAGCACCTTAAGACAGTCTCAGTTCCGCTTCTCGCAGAGTCCATTTCTCATGACCATACAGCAAAACAGCCGGTATTTTAGGCTGATACACACGTCCCTTGAGATTCGGGGTATCACTTTGACTTCAGAGTTGTGTCAAATTAGCAAATGCAACCCGTTCAGCTGAACACCCTTTCGGCTCTTTCTCTCACACTGGACTCGCTTGACATTAACGTGCGTTCTGTATCGGAAACAAGAATTCATTATGTAAGCACAGGTTGAGCTAACTGCCTATCACTCTCCACTCGCTTCCGGCTGTGCACCTCTTGTTGCTTTTATGCAGTGATAAATTCCAAAATAACCGAAGTTCTGTAGCCACATGGTGTCCTTCAACAGCATGTCGGATATGAACTCAAGGTGATCACACCATCATCAGCTAGCGATGGCGCGGATCAATATCTGACTGCCGGTTGTTCTGAAACACATCTGTTGTTTCCGGCGACGCGCACGTCCAGAACCTTTTTTACCTCCGTTTTCCAGGGCCCCGTTAAGTGCGGATGAGTCGCTTGGCAACTGATAGACTGGCAAACTCGAATGTTAGACAAATTTACTAGAATCGTTTTCTAGAGTCTCTTCCAGCTACTCCACTCTCAGAGATAAATTCATGCTGGAACCTGAACACATGGACACCTGGACCTGAACCTGTCTGGAAGAAACGGAAGTCTAAGGCTTGGGCTACCTGGCAGTATCTCAGCCTTCTTGCCTCCTTCGTCTGGCATGGCAGCTAGGCACCGAAAGGGTGTTACGGCTGGACGATCTAAGGAAATGGAAGAGGCCCGGAAATCTGGGAGTCCCCGTAGATTATTTTGGTTTGTCTGTGCGATCGGTCTCCGCAAACCGCCTGTGAGCGAAATCATCAATTATGAGAGCGAGCGGCCGTTTTGAACAAAGAAGAAAGCTCTGATTGTTGGGTCAAATACTTCTAACAACAGTTATCATGGCCACCAGCTAGCTGCTTAACTGCCATGCGACCCGAGGATTGCACGACGGCTGGGATACCGCCAGATTGCCCAAAACTAGGTAGGGGAAGTCGAGAGGTAGAGGTCGGGTTCTCAACAAGAACCTTCCAGTCAGTAAATTCGCGCTCTAACCACCTGGGACATCTCGTTCTTAGCTGCCACTCATTCTAGTACTTCAGTTGAAGCGGAACCATGGACGGTGAAAGTGGAACGTCCCATGGCCTCGGAAGTGTATGACTGCGTATCCTCCCAAGCGCCACCGAGTTTCTGGTCCGGATGACCCCCACACCCACATTGTTGAAAATGGGGATGAATTCCTTAGACGACTTGTCTGATCTGTTTTCATGCATGCGGGGAAAGAGATGGCCCGGGATGTCTATTTTATAAGAGGGGCTCGTAGTGAGTGCGGTAACTGCAGAGGGATCAGCATGACCCAGGTTGTAACGAGGCTGTTCTCTCTCTTCCTATTTAATTTCGTGATCGGTGATACAATAAGACGAACACTAGAAGTTCAAAACCCTGGTGCTCAAATAGTTGCTGCCGGAAACTTTGTCGATCCGGAATATGCAAGCGACATCTCCCTCTTCTTCAAAGAGAAGAAGGTGCAGATGTCTTCGGGTGAACTGATCGATGTCGTTTCGTCCTTTGTTATGCACTCTGCACTCACAAAGTGTAAGGTCATGCTCTAGGACATTCAGCCACTGGACATGCTACTTGCAATCCAGGGAGAAGCACTCGATGCAGTGGCATTTTTGTTGTCAGTTTCTATCCAGATCGCCTGAGTGAGTGTCTGGAGGTATAGGCACCTCGGAATGATTGTGTTAAGCTAGCACTAAGTCCCTTCCCCGTCCATGTTTACTCTTTTCTTTACAATAAGGCTTTCAAATAAATCATGGATGTACGCAATGAAGCATTGGTATTGAACACTGATGTCATGCTGTCGATGATGATGATGATGACGATGATGATGATGATGATGATGATGATTCGATGCTCTGGAGCGTTTTACTTACTTTGGAATTTGTGTTAGTTCTGATTGTAGTGTGGGAGTTGAGGTCAGTGCATGAATATGCTAATTTGAAACGCCTATGGTGGTAAAGCGGTAAATCCCTGGGTCTTAAGGGAAGTGTGTCAGGCTTCGGTGTGGGCTGTCTTGTTGTATGGCTGTTAGACTTGGACTATTCAATCAGCGGAACTGGGACGTCTTCAGGCGTTTGACCATCGTTGTCCCAGAACCATAGCTCATGTGGGTTGATGTCGGCGAACCTGTAATGAGGCAGTTAGAATGCGAGTTGTGCAACGGGGCTGCTTTCGAAGAATGTGCCCAGCAGCAGAAGCTGCATTGGTTAGACAGGGAATGGCGCATGCTGAGCCATCGTTTGCCAAAGAGGGTGCTATTTTTCGTGTCCAATTCAGAGTGGCGGAAACAGAGAGGTTGCCAACCCTTGACATGTCAGTGGTTTGGTTGGTGTCGGAGCTGGTCGCATTCTCAGATGGGGACCGCGTAACCCCCACTGCGCGTTGTTGGAGACGCAGAACGATATGGCTGCTGATCGTTGTCATTGATGTTCTTGTTGTCAGTTTCTATCCAGACTGCCTGAATAAGTGTCTGGAGATGTAGGCACTTCTGAGCGAATGTAGTAAGCTGGCACTACCCGTCTACCTTTATTCTTTTCTTCACCATAATTCCTTTAAATAAATCATGGTTGTACGGCAGCGAATCATTAGTGTTGTTCACTGATGTCACTCTCTCCATGATGATGATGAAGAGTGTCGTCGTACCTGGGGTTAAGCTGATCTATCAATGATTACCGCACTTACCACGAGCTCCTTGTTTTGAAAATAGGCACCACTAACTATTCTCTTCATTAGCCAGAGATAGTCTCTTTTTATCAAATGCAGGAAAACATCAGACAAGCGCTTCACCTCAATCTTAGGACAACGCTGGTGGGACTTCCTCCGGACCAGAGGCTCGGTGGCGATTCAGAGCATATCTGCACTCCTTAACCTTCGAGGCCGTATGTTTTTCCTGGTTCACCGTCCATGGTTCTACTTCAGCTGTAGGCACCAGATGGGTGGCAGCTGGTGACCACGGTAACTGTTGTTCGAAGTATTCGGCTCAATGGTCGAAGTGTTCTTCTTTATTCAAAATGGTCGCTCCGCTCTGTTTTTTAATGGTTCCGCCCACAGGTTGTTTCCGGGGGCCGGTCGCACGGATTGACTGAAGTAATCTTCGGACATTCCCGTACTTAGGACCTCTTCCAGTTCCTTAGACTATAGTGTCCACCATGTTTCACAATTGGCACCCATTCTCACTTTCACTTTAAGCCTGATAATTCGTCAGGCCAATTTACGTTCTGGACCGGCGGGTATTCAAGCATCTTCTGTCCGATATTCGGTGCTTGAGTGGGCTGGTAGAGCCATGCTTTGGGCAAAAGTCGTTGCACTTTGCAAAGGGATGGTAATCTCGTTCCAGCATGTATTCACATTTGATGGCGGAGCAGTTGGTAGGGACTCCAGGAGACGATTGTGTTAAATTCATCTATGGTCCGGGTCCACTAGTCTCTCGGTTGCTAAGCGATTTGTCGGCACCTTTGGCGGCCCTTGAAAATGAAGGGAGAGGCTACCCATTACGAGTTCATATCCTACATGATTTTGGATGATACCATTTAGCCAGAGGACTTCGGCTGTTTTAGACATTACTGCTGCGTAAAAGTAACTTGTGGTGAGCACATAGCTGAATCAATCGTTCGCCATTCTCCGTACGTTCCTAGTCCGATCCATGTCGACCACTTACTTGAGACTCAGATGCGCAAAATTTTTCTCACAGGGGCGAGATGGCTCATTAGTTAGAGTGCATTTATTGACTGGACAGCTAGTGGTTCGAACTCGACCTATGCGTCTCAACTTCCCCTGTCTAGGCTTGGGCAAAAAATCGTCCAGCTGTAGCACCATTTCGGTGTCTAGCTGCCATGCCACACGTAGGAGGCACGAGGGCTGGGATACTACCAGGTTGCCCAAGCTTAGACGGAGGAAGTCGAGTGGCAGAGGTCGGGTTCGGACTACAGACCTTCCGGTCAGTAAATTCGCGCTCTAATCACTTAGTCCATCTCGCGCTCTTTCACTTGGCCATCTCTGCTTGGGCAACCTGGCAGTTTCTCAGCCAGCTTGCTTACTTCGGGTGGCATGACAGTTGGGCACCGAAAACGTGTCGCAGCTGAAGGATCATTGTTAGTTTGTTGTTGAAGTCTGCTCACTTGTGCGTTGAGATCTTCGGTAAAAACAACAATACTTGGCCGCAACAGGGCATTTAAGATGTCATAAAACCTGCCTTCGGGGTTGTCAGAGTTATAGTCAGTTGTGGCGTAAGCGGACATGAGAAACAAACAGCGATGAAGTTCCCGCTTGTAAGACTGCTTCTCGGATGTTATCAGACGAATCGCACGGGTACCCAGTTACGGAGGGGTCCTTCTCCCCAGTGGTTTACGATGATACCAACCCTTGCACATCCTACCGCAATGGCCTTTGGATCTCCAGGGGTGCTCAGCCGTAAGCGAGTGGAGAGTGTTGGAGCAGTTGGTTCAACCCCTCTGCATGTCCCTTTTTTGTTTATGATGCGAAACGAACATCAATATCAGGAGAGTTCATTATGAGAACATGAGCAACTCGTTGTTCTGTTTGCTTCAGAGTACGAACTTAGAATGAAGCCAGACAGACTGAGCGTCGAGGCTCGAAGGTTGATTTCGAGAGGCCTGAGAATCTCATCTCCGGATGACGCTGATGGCACCACGATGCAGGGACTTTTGCATGAGGTTATTTGTAAGTGTGCATTTCAGGGTTGTACATGGGCTGGAATACTGCCTGGGCGGTCAGGGTTCTCATCCAATACCTTAGACTCAAAAGCCTTGGCTCAAGACAGCGGTGTTTAGCGAGAAATGCAATTGGATTACCATTTTTATAGAATACGTCACCATACATGTTCCTATCCCCAATCTTAAGGTTCAGGGGACTTGGTCTGACGTCTAAACATTGACCAAACTGATATGGGAGACTGCGAGTGCCGCGCGGACACCCCTAGTGTTGCCCGATTGGTCACGAAGGCGCACAAACCGTCACACCTCGGTAAGGTCCAGCCTCCTGGTGACGGTCATGATGATATGCCTTTTGGATGTGCCAAATCCTTACTCACTGTAAGGGCACGTTTCAAAAATAATTCGTAAATCAACAGGCAAACAAATGGACGATGATCTCCACAAGTTTTGTGATTGTCGTTGAAAAATACCTAATGATGCTTATTTGATCCTTTAATATGAGCACCTTGGGGGGAACCTACCCACTGGTTCATTAAGCACGGGTGTGTCAGGGGAAGTAATTCATTTGCGTTTGTCACCTTTTAGCTGAATGAGCTGTTTTACTGTTTCACTGTAACAAAAGCCTCGTCCCACATATCCAAACTTTAACATGGTTGGGGTCTGTTAACCATTGATGGTTTTTACCAGTTAAATGACTCAACCAAACCCTTACATTGACGTCTGCGTTCCCCAATACAAAATTAAACTTTTACCACGAAGCAAATTAGTGTAGTCCGAAAGGACGCTAATCAAACATCAGTTCCTTAGAGGTCGCAATTTTCGCGTGGTTTATTAGGTGCGACATAGAACAGGTTTGAGTGTAGTATGTCGTACGCGAATACCTATGTATGGGACCTTTCTAAACGGAGTATAAGACGCATTTACTCTAGATGTTCAGCTCCATCCGTCTTTCTTGCGAAGAGCAAAATTAAATGATCACCGTTTTCGCAGCTTCCCTAATGCTGACCATATCGTTTTCACATATCGTTAATTTGGTTGAGCACCATAATTTGTCCAGATCACGTGAGTGTGAAAAGGCCACGAGCTGCTTTGTGTCGGCGTTAGACAGAACAAACCGTCAAGGGTCATTGTATACTGCGGTAAAGTCAGTATACCTACTTGTGAGACTGATATTGATTTCCAATACTATGGTATTGGCCTCCTGATTAACAAATTAAGACAGCATTGTTCAGACGAATGACACGATAAACGAGGGTATCCATGGTATCGATGTTTTTTTACAATTCTAGATGGTTACAACAGCTGAAGTCAGTTGCATATTTGAACGACTCAATCCACTGGAAACTCGGATTGAGTCAACTTTGTGTGGAATGGTTCAGCTTTAGCCCACCTAATTTACCGCATATTTCCGGTCACTATGAGCCTGTGTAAATGCGTTACGACTGCGGCTGGCCATGTATCTTGAATTAATCTGTTTCACCAGATTGCAACTTCTCACGGCCACAACTTGGGTGTGACCATGTGGGCACATATTAGTCGGACTAGTCCACTTGGGGGATTGCGGCCTCTCCGAATGCGATCTACTTTGCTAGTTTTCTCGTAATTCTGGTAAATATAGGAATAATAACCAAATAATCAAAAATTGTTGAACCATTAGCATTGAGTTGGGAGTAGAAGAATCGATGGGAGAGGTGCTGGTCGCCATCATCATCGACAGCATGCCATCAGTGTTCAACACCAATGCTTCACTGCCGTACGCTGGTCGTGCAGTGGAGGGTTATCAATCGCGGAAGAATGAGTTCTGTGTGGTGTATTTTCAAGTTAAATATAGGAGTGAAAATTTCACCGAATGCTGATAACATTGACCCTTAGATGTTACTTCCTGGTTTCTTGGGACGACGTTCAATTGGTTGCACACCAGTGAGCTCAGATATAATGAACTTCCTTGGAGAATCGTCCACATGTTACATCAAGTCACTCGTACACACCTAACTGAACTTGCGAATAGTCAGGGATGTGGTGAGAATATCCCCTGAAAGACGTAGTGGCATCATCCTGACTATCATACTTTCAAACTGACTTGACCCGCTCAACCAACCGTTTAATGACACGCTAGAGTTTTCTGCTCCCGAGCTGTTGACGGTCATGGGTTTTCTCAATAATTCAAGAGGGTACCTAGCGCATAGGTAAGACCCGTGTATCGAAGCGTGTGAACTATGGAGAAGGATCAAAACAGGCCTGAAACGTGGTAACACACTAGGGGGCGTTCACAAATTGAATAATGATAGTAATACTATTAATAAATACGATAAATGATCGTTCAGCTGTCGCACCACTTAGGTGCGTAACTGTGACGCAGATCGATTGGGGCGCTCGAAAGCCAGGGTTGGTTTCGAACCATGTATTTTCCGGTCAGTAGTTCCGCACCCTGGTCACAAGGTTATCACCAAAGTTGTTAAACCCATTGCTAAGCAGCGGAGAAAGTCAGTGGGTGACGTGCATTTGGTACTCTATGACCTCTTTCGCTTGCCACACAAAATAGACAAAAGTCCAATAGCGAGTGTTCAGTAAAACTTCCGCCTTATTATGATACGCATACCCGACCCGAGTTCGATCGTTCCCCTCAAACCGATAGAGGCGAATCCGGATTTACTGAAATTTACTCTGGGTGTGTGGTGATCTTAGTTCATTGGCTCATGGTATCTACTATGTGGGTGTTGTGCCTAGATCCAGGACGGACTGCGCTTTACTGGACTAGTTTCCGGTTACTAGTCGCCTTTGCGCTGTTAGGTTTGCTGCTTCAATCAAGATAGCATTTCGGTGCGGTAAATGGCGTTTTTTGTGTTGGCATGTGCTCCGGCAGATTGGAGTCCTGAGGTTGAGAAAGATGGCTTTTATCATGGTTTGTCACGGTTGCATGGGTCAGCAAACCTTGAGCAACACCGGATCTGGTCACGATCAGCAGCTGTCATTGATGCCAGGAGAACTACACAAGAAACGGATTGCTGTGTTGGGGCGCCCTCAGTTGTGGAACACTGAAGAGCCTAAGGACGACGGGTAGTGAAAGCTTAAGAAGTGAAGAAAGCTTTTGTAACTGGAAACACCATTTCAGCTAATCCGTTCAACTAGTCCCAGGAGAGTGAATGTGAGCGAGATAATCTTTGAAAAAACGGGACCTTATTCACTCACAGAAGCGTCGTCTCGAACGAGGGAGTAAGCACTCTGGAGAACATCACTCCAACTCTTGGAAGGATCATATAACTTCGAATGGAACGCCAACCCCTGTATTCCGTCGACGACATAGGTCAAGTGTACAGTTTCATCGCTTCAGCTTACCAAAAGCACGTGATTCAGATTGCTTCCATCTTCCTAACAGCAAAAAGATAACGTGCCCTTTGTCCATAAATTGTCGAACAGAGAATACAGACAGAATGGAATGCACACACAAAATGAGTAAAGAAACGTCGTGCCAAAATCGTCGTAACGTTAGCCTAGTGGGCACAGGTTCCACGAAGCTGTCTGGTATTATCCTACACAGATTAATCCATCGTTATGCGAGTCAGGTGTGTAAGTCAAACTGGGTTTCGCTCTGGCCTGGATTGCTCCGATCATCATCTTGTGATAATTGCTGGAACTGCGCCATTCCCTGCGATAGCCAACAGTTGTCGTTCTTGATTTGAAGGATGCTTTTGATTTCTTTGTTGGTTAAGTAGTACAGGGATGTCTGGCGATGAAAAGTGTTCCTTTTGAGTTCTTGTTATGAGGGCTATACATACCTCTCCTTTTTAACGCGTTCAGGCGGGGATGCTCTATACCTTTTCCCCTTTCACTTCGTAATTGGTGTGTTGCTTGAGTTTGCATCTGACTCTAATACCTCAGTGATCGAAGTACTTCTCAGGCGTTCGCTAGTATACATTTGGTACTTTGACTTTATTACTGTTTTACGATCAGACCCCTTAGAAATGCAAACCAATTTAAATAGCCTAAATAATTGTGCTGTACGTTTCGGCAAATTGATACCGCTAGATTGAGAGGGTCAAACCAAACTTCATGCCTACAGATTAACCGGTCGATTTAGCTTATAAGTTCGCCTATCTGGGCAACTGCGTTAGTTCCAATGGACTAATGAAGGGTGAAATGACTTCCTGAATTGGAGGGCGGGAGCAGTGTTTACTAACCTCTGAGATATGTGACATCGATGTGACGTCAGCTTACATTGTGGTTCTATCCATTCTATTGATGGGTAAGAAAAGCCGTCATTGTTCCCTGATCTTCCGGGGATTTTCGTTTTATCATCGGTGCCTCCCAAGGATTGTGATGAACTGGTGGGAACATTAAACCAATAATATTGAGGTGTTTTAGATGATTTTCAGGGAAAGTAACTCTCGATAAACCACTTGGTCATACTCCACAGGTTGCGCTGTTTAGGCTACACACTATGTATACCGGAGAACCGCAGACTCTGCCAAGTAAGGGAGACCTTTTGGCGGTCAGTCCGTGACTTGGCAACGATTCAGCTCCCAAAGTAGTGCTTTCTAGAAGTGACTGCTCAACAGTTAGTTTTGTAAATATTTGCGTTGGTTGCTTCCCTCTCCCAAAGTAGTGACTGCTCAACAGTTAGTTTTGTAAATAACTGCGATCTCAGATCCGGTAACTTAATGTCAGAGAAAGACTTACTAACAAGGAGCACGTCAGAATTATTACGAAGAAGCGAGCGTGAAAATGACAAGGAGAGCACTTTGGTTATGAATGCAGGCTGTCCAGTCGGCGTTGCTTCAATGTTATGCCAGAATACTCGAGCATCATCAGCCTTTGTCGATTGTTTGAGCATCTAATAAGCAACCGGCTTTTCTTCCCTAGATGATTGACGGCTTCCCTACTTCGACTTTGTTGGAGTTTGAGGGTCTCAGTGGGTTCAGGGCATTCTGGAGCATATTCAAGAATCTGCCCCTCCTGAGAGTTTGTGACCCTGACGGACGTGGTTGCGTCACGCAGCCAATGGCAGTACTGTGTCATGTTCATCTCCCTGACTTCTCTCTCACTCCCTGTAATACTGGAAACTGGCTGAGACATTGCCTCCATCTTGTAATTTCTAGTCCCTCATTATCCTTGTCCTTCGTGGACGAAGGTGTAGCAGCTTGAACCGCTCTTTATCGGTACATGGTTTGTAGCTGAACACCCGAACCGAACTGAAATGCGATTGGTCTAGAGGGCAGTAGACAAACGGGTTAAATGTGGGTGGATTTCCTACTCATGTTGCACTCGGTATCACGGCACAAGTGTTCATCTGCCTTTCGTTTGGTACAGTTTGTTGTCGGCTTTGTGTCCGGGCTCTGCCGCTTGTTGGAGTATTAGATTGAGATGTACATGTATCACCTCGACTGCTCCCATTTGAGTTGAGGCACGTCGTCTTTTGATACACTGGCAGCAGAGCCATCTCATGTTCATCTGTAGGTACAGTTGGCAGTGTTACTTCCTCATCAGCTAAATTGATCTATCTACAGCCGACGGCGTCTGTTTGCTCATACTTTAAATGATCTTCCATATGGATTTCGCCGTAAAACAATGTGTAACGTACTGGCAATGAACAGCCGAAGTCCTTGACCTCTTTTTCGCCGACTTTATTTGATGGATCTGTGACTGATGGCACACACTTTTTTAATGCTATCTGGACTGGTAGACTGACGCACCGTTGTTTGCATGTTCACTACTATCCAAACCAAACGTCCGGTCGTTCCAGGCCTCTTGATCATACTACCACCCTCCTTTGTTTGCATGTTCACTACTATCCAAACCAAACGTCCGGTCGTTCCAGGCCTCTTGATCGTACTACCACCCTCCTTTTAGTAAAATCTTATATGACCCATATTTCTTCAGGAGAGTTTTCATCGCACTGTGCCCTTTATTTCAGGTTGGCTGCTGACTCGCTTCTTCGGAGCCAAGATCATCCAGTCACTCCTAGACAGGGAAAATGGCTAGTCCGAGGAGCCGTAGGGCTTTAATGGACGTCAAGAAAACCAATGACAACAACGTAAGCGTGGACTGATTCTTCTCATAAACTTCTGGAAACCATTCGTAAAACTGACATACTGATTGCGTACTGTTTAGCCCGGATGATGTTTCTAGCACATTGTTCAACGTCGTCATCATCATCACCGTCATGAGGTGGGATACGTTTTCACTTCTTTTGGTACCCCACCACCCATCATGTTTCAGTCAGTATTGTCTACTTTCCTTTAACTGATGTAGAGTCCGAGCCTGTATTTAGCTCGGGTGTAGTCAGTCTCTCTTCATAAACGAGAGTTCCAGTTGGTATTTGTTGCATACCGATTTGGCTTTGACGGGGGACTCACCTGGAACCCAGCTCAATCGCTCGTTTATGTAAATGAGTGTATTTCGCCAATTTCTTGTAATTTGAGTTCAAGTAGAACATAAGGTTAACGGAAACTGTCTACCTGATGAGCCTCAAGAAGGACGAAACCGACCGTGGGCTGTCGAAGAGTTTTGAACAACCTTATGAGTAATGCATCTGTTTTAGTTTCTTGTTCACACCAGGCCCATTTCCAAACCAGCGTAGATAACTAAGGTAACCCTTTACTAAGCCCAACAGGCACAATCCACGTTACAGCTTTCTATGTTCAGCCTCCCTTTCTGTGTGTTGTGTACGTATGTGTTGGTTTCCCACACACGCAATTTCGGTCATGCAGCTCGGGAGCTTAGACATTTCGGTATTCGGTGATCCTGGCGCAATGGTTCATTGTATCTATGATGTGGGACTTGCGCTGAGCCCCAGGGCTGAAAGCGCTTTACTGGACTGCGCCCCAGTAAACAGTTGTCTGACCCAGTTATGATGAATACAGGTCGATGTGTTGAACGGTCCTTCTTTGTTGTATCAGCATGTGCCATGGTAGGCTACACTTCTAAAGCTGGGAAAGATGCATTTTGTTGAGATTTGTCAAGACTGCATCGGTCTACAAAGGAAAACATAAAGTCGTCCTGGCGGGTGATGTAGACGCCAAAGATGAATGATTGAAATCAAGGAAAATACATTCGGATGGTAGATTCTGAGGCGGTGCTAAATGTGCCCATAATAGAGACCGAGTTCTTCGGTTGTGTGCTGAACACCACCTGCTGCTGTACAGTACGAATTCTCGGCACTACCGCCCACATCGAGTTGTCTGGTGACCATCAGCTGCTGATGTCACCTCGATTGGTGATGAAACGTTTGCAATCGAATCGCTCAGCTCAGCGAACAAACCAACTACCATCCACGCTACCTGAGCTACCAAAGTTTTCCTCTATAGAAAGCTGTAGGCTAGTTAGGGACTCGGTCGGATCACATGGCCATCAGTTACCGGTGGACCACCGCAGTGGAACGTTACTGTTCCTTTGGGTATATAAGTTGACTACGTCCATGCTGTTATGTGGATTCGGTTATCACTTCGCTTTTCCTCAGCTTCACGCAAGCCAATGCAGGACTTTCCAGTTCTTGTACTCAAGTGGATTTCCACCACTCAGCGATATCACGATGATCAGGTTGGGAAGCCACATGGAATGCACAGTCACGCTTACGATGAGAATTTCTTGGAAGATGGGTAGAAGAGGGTGAAAACTGTGTTATCAGATTTTAGAACCGCACAACTCGGCTATCTGTCCTGACCAAATTAGTTAAGGACTGCAAAGTCAACAGCCCTTTTTGATGCCCGAAGAACTAACGACGACAATGGTGAACGCAGATCCTCTAAAGTTAATAAAGAGCCCAAAATAATGACAATAAGCCACAAGGATCACAGAGGTGTAGAGCGTTCCCACTGCGTTAAGCAATGCACCGAATTTCAGTTGATCTGATCAACTAAGCAAAATAAGATTTAAGGAAATGATGGAGGTGGAGGTTATTCGCAAAATAGTTGTCTTGAGATATTGGTCGAGCATTTCAAAGAACACAGGCTTTCTTCGGTAGAATTTCTAGAAAAACCACCAGCCGGAATGTAACGTTGACACCAGTCGCAAATTAGCTACAGAAATTCAACAGGTGTCGTTCTTTCAGAAATAAATAGCACCCGGTCTGAAGAGCCGGAGAAAGAAGCATGGGCGCTGGTACGTTTCCTAGTTACCCATTTCTGGGTCACCAAGAATATAACGACTGAAATCAACGTACCCTTTGTACATGGTCTATAAATGATGAGCTGACGCGAACTGGTAGTTTGGTCAAGAGCATTTCATGTCTCCACGGTTGGCTAATGTGGCAGGCCAACTCTCCGTAACTTCAGCTAAACTATATGAAAGCAGGCATAAGCAAACTAATCAACCACTCAACATAGTAATTACGTTTTCCCTTCGAATGGTGGTCATTTTTAAGTTCGATCGGCAGGCTAACAACTCATGAATTCACTTGAACTACCACAATGGATCTTGGTCCGTCTGTGAGACCCTGTGGAGAATACTAATGCATTAGTCCGTGGCTTCTAGAACTAAATTTGTTGCTTTGGAACGGCAGTAGAGAGAAGACCATTAAATATCGTTCACATGCATTTAAAATATGAGGAAGTAGTTGATAGTGTTTGGCGGAAAATGCCATCTTGAAAGCCTCTCTCTACGAGACTGCGCCTTTGATTTTGTTTCACTCAGTTCTATTTGATGTTATTACGCTGGTTGGTCGAACTAATGTCTTCGTAAGCCTCGGCCCGATTTCCAGTGAGGTGTATCATCTGCTGTTTAATAGTCGTCCATTCATGTTGCAAAACGTGGGTGATCCCCTCATTTTTGTCACGTGGTGTGCTTGTTATTTCCCACCTTGTCTGCGATTGTATCGGCTCAGTTGACAGTGGTTGGTTAACGACAAATCAGGTGAGTCTATTGTCTGTTGGTAGTTTTGTTAGCTAATATCTTTTTTATGACTGTTTTACTCTAATTTCAAACGTCTGGCCGAGAAACTCTGGGTCTAGGTTACCGTTGGACTATTTGGGTTCGATGCCGAGATTATACTTTCTGAAATTAAGCCATCTTCTTGAATTATATTGACCCACTTCTGTCGTTTGTTTTATTCACTGCCACAGCGTTGCTTCGAATGTGGTACTCCAAACCCTCAATGGGCCAGTGTGACTTATGGTATCTGGATATGTCTGGAGTGTTCTGGTAAACATCGCGGTCTTGGCGTGCATCTAAGGTAAGAAAAGTTTGTTATGGTTGCACAGTACCCTGTAATCAGGACTTTCCTGGAGAAAGAGATATCTGGATTGTCTTAGGGTGACCCTCTCGAGGGACTTGCACAGTGCGTTGCGAATCAACATCCATATACTTGCACCAAGTGGTTCATGCCACACGATATTGGCATTTGAGTGACGGTTTACACAATTACTGTCTGTTTTGAGGGAATACAGCCTTCGTCAAAACTTCAGCTAACAGTTTTGGGTTTTGAAGCACACTGAAACATCGTTTTGGATACCAGGAGCATCATCAAGTTCACGCTTGACGTAGTAAATGAATTTTTCCCAGCCAAATCATCTAACGTTAGCATGAAAACCTCAAATGCAATTGTGATCGCGAGGAGAAGAAGAGATACTGAATACAACTGTCACCAATTATGAAAAGTTTGGTGGGACTTTCTGACGCTTAGTGGATCATTGGTTTGTCAAGTGTGGATGCCGCGGAATAGTTAGCTTTCGTTTTCGGAATGGGAACCGAGGAAGCTTCTTTCAGACTGCGATGTTCATTAGAGACTCAATGTCGGTGTGTAGTGGTTGATGGAAACATATTTGGGTTGAGGGAGGATATAGTCAGATGAGTCAAATGTCTTTTGGAATACATTGTTTATACTTCACGTCAATGAGCTTTTTGTGTGTATCTTTCTTTGCGAAATCCGTCGTCTGGGTGGCCAACTTTACCAAGTCCTGTGCATCCTACGACTGCCAGTTTGAAACCTTTTTCCAAAGAAGTGGATCTTATTTCTCCTGTCAGCCGTATTGTACTTCCTTTCAGTCGCTCAGTTCTGATGAACTGTCTCGATTTCATAAACTCAAGACTAAAACTGTCATACTATTTTGCTTATATGGAGGTTTAATGATGTAATTATGCATACTTCGGTATCTCATGTGCGCCCAAATATCCAGCTAAAGTTTATCATTTCGATACAATCGAACCTCTCTCAAATGTAACAGTCACTGTAGATTGGGGCAAACGAAGGTTTGGCTGTTAGTCTGTTTGCCGAGCTTGACAGTTGGATTGCAAACCGATTCAGGTGATATCGCAAGTGCATCGCCGTAGCTCACGTTGTAACTCGATACGTATTTTTGACAGGGAACACATGTGGCCATGAAAGCACTGATTTTACCGAACTTAATGATACGAACGGAGTAAGAGGAATTTGACGGGACCGACAAAAAGCAGTCACTGTAGGGGCGTGATCTCTGTTGAGGAGTATCATTGTCTCGTGTGACTATCTTTTCATGGAGCTGTACCAAAATGATGGACCGCCTCTGATCCATGGAGACCACAAGCCGTGTGTTCCTACTATCACTACTCCTTTTACTCAAAATGGCAACTCGGCTCATCTCGAGTCTAACGTTGTTGTCCATCTATTCTGAACGATTACTACACTGTCCTTTTTGCTGTTTTCACCCACTCTAAGGAACCAGCAACGCATCCTAGTACACTGTATATATCTGGTTGAGTATAACTTGATGGTTGGCGTCATCAAACGCCCGTACTGTGATTGTCGCACGACATATTTTCAGCTATTGTCCAACGTTTAATTTTGCCGCAACAGCATCCCCACTTTCGAATCATGTCAGTATTCACCACGCCAATTAGGGCATCAGCATCCTTTTGAAGAAGAGACGCACTAGACATATGGGATATGATAACTGAACCCTAGAAAAACAAGTAACCACTTCGATTTACGAAAGGAGTCATGAAAATGATGACTCCGAACTTGAATTCTCGTATGACTTGTTCTGGTCTCTACTAGTGTGTCATTGCTTACACATCGTCGTTGTCATTCTGAGTCGCTAAAGATCTCCCTGCTGTTTATCAAAACATTTTGCTTGGTAACTTGCTATAAGGAAGGTTGTTTTGGATTGTAATCCAGTCCGAATCACACTGTAAGCTTCGCCTGGATGGTGTCCAGTAGAGATCCCATGTGCTAACTAGGGTGGTGCTGCACCAACGTGGACTTGATGCGAATTCTAGGTGTGTGATGTTTCAAATTGCCGTTCTCGAGGGAGTGGGCGTCTACTTGCAATATTTTGGTCGGGTAAAACACAACTACTCTGGGTCCCGGGTGAAATTCACGTGCTTTCTATCCATTCCTCATCCAGTTTTGTGCGATCTATAAACATGGACAAGTGGAAAGAATTGGAACTGGAGAAAATGAAAGTTGGAGGAAATAAACATGCGAGAGATTTTTTCAGCAGCCAACCTGACTTCCGTGATGATTGGACGCTGCAAGAAAAGTACAACAGCAAAGCTGCGGCACTCCTTCGGGACAAGGTAAGGGCGGTTCTTCCAAGGTCGATGAAAAGTATGGACAGCTCACTACTGGTTTCACCCTTCTTGGGGCTATAAGAAAGCCATCTAAGGTTCCCAGGCGCCTCGATCCCCTGCTAGTTAATTTGAATGTGCGTTGTATTTAAAGTAATCTTACCCCTGGTTGGTATATTCCTTGTGCTATTTTTGTTTCAACTGACACCAGCTCTGAGTGTTTTCTGTGGATAGCTGGCTGAGTGGATTGCAGATCACATGACAAGATGGTTTATCTGCGGAAATGCCTATGCGAACCGCAGTTTTCAGGTTGTGTACATTGTAGCACGGTGTGAGGAAGCCACTCTGATGACATTTCAATGGCTAACGCGTTTCTTCCGACTTACTTAGGGAATCGCGCAGTTCACAGATTGAACATCTGGATTCTCTGACTGTAATAAAGAGTATCTGTTTCTGTCACGCCGGGGTAGGATTATGCTGGGGACATCGTTTGAGTATTCTCAGTATTACTTGGTGGCTGTTACAGTCCAGCATTGGTGCACTTCTCAAGCTGACCCGTGTTTCTGTAGGGTGTGGCGCCGCTTCTACCCATTGTTTACCGTGTATTTATGGACCGATTTAACGGTTTAATACATGTGCATCCTTCAATCCATCATCATCTGGGGTCTTCGGGCAGACCCACAAGAGTTCGTTTACAAAAAGAATACCTTGTTCACGCATGCATTATCGTTGCTACCGTTTATCGCTTTGTTGAAGTCAGAAAAGCCCCATCCTTTGAGGCGAGTTGCACCTTCACCGTTGTTGATAGTCTTCACATACTTGTGTTGAGCCACGGTTAAAATTTCTTAGACGGGGTAGCTTGCATGCTAAGCCGATTGGCTGGTCAGGGATCCTACGCAGTTTTTTTGCCGCAATCAGTTCATGAGGCGCGCATGTGGTGCTGTGTGTAGGCCTTCAGTGGCGATGCGGATCGGCAGGACTAATACCAGTTGGATTAACACAGAGACCTGTCGCCCTTCATCAGTTGAGCCGAACAACATGACACAACAGTGAAAACTGGCAAAAAATTATCGCTTGTCAGTTTTATTTGACAAGTTCCTTAGGTTTCGGCCGATTACCACCTTTCTCCCGTTATAGTATTGCATCGTTGCTCCTGAGGACCCCGCATAGATAAACTGGTGGTACTCCAGTAAAAAATGTAGGATAACTCATCATGCTGGTAGCAGTTAAGCATTTAAAAAAGCTGCTTCAATCCGTCTGTTTTTGTGTACGTTGGTTACCTGCAAGACACTTGCACTTGAATGTCACGCTGGCTCACTGTGTCGTGGTTCTACTGGGAAGATGGACTCCTTTCGAAATAACTTACGTGTTTTGAATTACTGAGACAGATCGTTCGCCTGCAAATGCGGTCATCTTCAAGACATTCTTTCCAAGCGGTGGTTCTTTCGCTTATGTGCAGGGTAGAACAGGAACACGCGCAAGGCTTCCAAGCCATGTATTATGCAAATAGACTCATAACACGGGCCCAAATTTAGGGTGTATGTGCAAGACGATGAAGGAGCTGAACATTTCATCAATGGTTTAGGTCGAGATGGCTCAAGTTGTTGGGACGCTAATTTGTTGACGGAAGGTTTATGTTTCAAACCCGACCTCTGCATCTCGATGTCCCCTGTCAAGGCTTGGGCAACCTGGCGGTATCCCAGCCCTCGTGCTTCCTTCGGGTGGCATGGCAGCTAGGCACCGAAGGGGTGCTACAGCTTAACGATTTTATTTTTTAGGTCGACTTTGACACGGATGAGAGTGAAGGTTACAAAGAGAATCGACAAGCAGGTGAAGTGCTGTAGTGTTGAACTAATCGGTCTTACATTGGTTTTCCAATGAAGTACTCATGGGCAAATAGATTTTTTGGATCAGTGTTAGTGTAGAATGGTGTAGTTAGAGCTTGTGCCAACCTTGTTCTCATCAGTATTCCTGCGATGACAAAAGAACCGTCATGTCTGTTCTCACGGATCTGAATTCTGATTCTATTTGTTTACCGTTCCGGATCCGGTCGTCGGAATCCTGAGGATTTTGTGTTTTGGTTAAATATTGATGGCTGAGATTCTGGAATCGCTCGTAGAGTCCATCATTGCGCGTCGGCTGACACAATAACCAGTCATTTCGTTGCCCTTCATTCAGGTTGCCACTGAGGCCGCTGGTCAACCCTGGTCAGAAGAGACCTCCAATGCCCGAAATTTTCGTCCCTCCATTCCTCATGTACATACCTCCAACGAGTTGTTGCGTACTTCACAAAGCTTTCGTTCTGACCCACACAACAAAAATCAATCACGTGATCCTAATCCATCAGCATCGTCTGCGGATCGATATTCCGCGACATCCGGTTCGTCTAGTGCAATGAATACTTGTTATTCGGACCTGGAAACTTGGCTTCGAGATTCGGAAGATCTATCAGCCCGGAGGAATTCGTCCTATCAGGCCGCACAAGGCGTTTCCGACTGGGCTAAGTAAGCCCGTCTCTTTATGCGGATTTTTTATTGGTTCAAATACGATCCATCCGGATGGTGTTATTTCGTTATAGTTATGGTTATGTGTCTGGCATTGCTTTTATTATTCAGTCTACAATGTAGGGCCTCTGCTGCCCGTTTTAATTTTCAGTTTACCTGGCACTATAAGAAATGTCATGTGTATCTTCCCTAATCCATGAGATTACCTGCTCCCTTGCGTCACAGCATCTGAGAATCCCCATTTTGTTTCAGTTGGGAAATTCGTCACTCGTCTGCATAAGCATTTCATCGTTGCACCTGTTGGTTGGGTTTGAAAGCTTGCGGTCCACTGTTGTAACCAAGTGGCTGTGACTGCGTGTTTTGGGTTAGGTTATTGACCATTCATCGAGCAGGGCCAAAGAAGATCGGAACAATAGTGACCAGTTGGAAACTTTCGAGTAATCCGGGACTAAGTGGATCTGAATACGTAAATTAGAATGCATAACAAGGAAAAATGGAGAAGTTTATCCAAATTAAGCTCAGGCAGCTAACCCGGGAACCTCACCATTGTACTGGGAGGAACCATTATTATCGATCAATGCCAATTTATTGTCGGATAAGTGAATGAAATGCTATGGAACAAACAAGCTAGATTAGCTTCCGGGCTAGCTTTGCTTGTCATGCATGTTGTAGTTTGGAAACAATGCATGCGGTTCGATATGCACGTCCAAATTACTCCACCAGTGTACCGTTGTTGGCAACGCTTCTTTCCGCTACGACTGACATTTCCGGCCAATCATTCAACCGACTGTATGCGTGCCCTGTCAAAGAAATTATTTTAAATGTGCCCCTATTTCCATACTGTGTACTGTTCTCGATCTTGTAATCTTGATCGCTAGTCTCTCATACATTCCTCAAACAGTTAGGAGAAAACTTCCTGTCAGAAGCAGGTGTCTCACAGTGGGCTCACTAGTGTTATCTTTAAACACATGCACCGATCTATTTTGTATCTAATGATCTTGGAAGGATTGCCTGATTGTTTTGCCTGATGATTTTGGCGTATCCTCAAGTATCCGCTGCGTTGGAAAAGGAGTTGACTGCCACCTCCACACACTATTAAATGAATTGGACTGTTTTACGGTAAAGTAAAGTAATGTAGTGGCATAAATCGGGGTGCATCCGAAGTCCTCTTAAGTTTGCTTAATAAAGAACAGCAGCATCAACAGTCGGGGACCCACTCCTCACAACTTACTGTATGGGTGAAACATAGCACGATTTTTGTTTTTTGTGTTCTCCATAGTTTGGCATCAGACGGGTCCGAGGTTCGAACCCGACCTCTACCTCTCGACTTTCCCTGTCTAGGCTTGGGTGACCCGGCAGTATCCCAGCCCTCGTGCTCTGGTGGGATAGAAGTTAGGCACCGAAAGGGTGCTACAGCTGAACGACGATTTGTTGTCGTCCACGCTCTCTGGGTAGCTACTTCGGCGATGTACGTGCACTGCAAGAATTCAGGATTTTTTCACCTTTCTGTGTCATCTTTATTGTGCATTTCTTACTGAACCCAGTAGGAATTGACTTATTCTGTAGAAAGCTGGGAGAATCTGTCGTTCCAGGACATTCCCGGCTTCCCTGATTTTTACAAGGTCGCCACGGTGAGGAAATTCAGCACCGGTGTAGCTGTCAGTAATGAAGAAGTTTATCGAGCGTTTCATACACGCTACACCTCAATCTGTTAAGCCTAAACCTCCTATTCTTTCTATTTTCAGTTCAGCTCAGCGTGGAAAAGGCAGCTCATTTGATACGTCGCACTCAGGAACTGACGTCTACAGCAGCATGGCAAATACGACTTGGCAGTCTGTAAGTTTCTCGTTATCGCACTTACACTGTATCTGGACCTTAAAGGATTATTTCTTGACGATGAATCACCCGGACTCTACTGGCTACCCGTTCTCAGTAGCGGAGATACTAACTTTTCACACGATCAGTCTATCGGTGAGGATATCTACTCAGAGTTTCCGAGACCTATCACCTCCACTGTGTGACTGTCGTTCACACCTTCTCCCAATCCTCAGATGGATATAAATGTGAGAACTGGACTTTTCATACCTTGTAGGCTAGTTGAAGCCTAACTCTTGAACTCAACTATTGGTCTTCCCAACGTTTTTTACTGTTACTACCGCAGCTCAGCCCACTCACGGATGAAATAACCGAACTGTGTCCTTCCACTACTTTTTTTCTCCGGAGTACGACTTAAAAAGTATAGCAGAGCAAGACTGCTTTCAAAGCACTAGTTGGGGGGCTCGTCGAACTTTGAAAGTAACGTCACAGTGATTCATTGTATGTATTGGAAGTAAATACTCTGCCATAAAAAGTGCCTTTCAGACACGTAAAAGCGGTTAAATCGACTCCCTTTCAGTCTTCAATTAACAAACCATGAGCTAGCTGTCTCTGTTAGTTTTTGAGTAGTTCCGCTCCTGTGCACAATCATTCATCAGCATATTAACTGGCGTTCTGGTCACTCGTTTAGGTAAGGCAAGCAGTAATTCCTTGCTTCTCGTGCTGCAATCGGTGTTGCAATTCGTAATGATGAAATTCCCAGCAATTCCAGTGAATCGCTGAATTTCGGTTCTCAGAAGTACGTATAGTTACTTAGCCGGATGTGTGCTTTGCAGGGACAACTGGTGTTTATCGTGCAAATCGGATAGCATCCTCCAGGGGTATAAATGAGAAATGTCTGCCCCGAGTACTGTATTCACAGTACAGACGCTTGATCTAAACTTACTGGGGTTGGTCGACGTATTCAGAAAGGTTTGGTAAACCATTGGTGCATTTCTGACCATGAAACGTTTATGTTTTAACACAGATGCTTCATCAATCCAGGCTAGTAGGATATTAGGTTGGACAAATGTTAAGAAGGACGGATAGTCCCTCAGCAAGTTTTATAGCACACTGACTCAACGTTCAATGTCGGTTGGAAAATCTTGTCGACTCACAACACGAGCGAGATTGATTTGGGAATGAAGGACGTGAAAAAGGAGGAATATACACTCATTTGCAAACTAATTTGGTTTTTTTGAGAGACTCGACTCACACACGAGCGAGATTGATTTGGGAATGAAGGACGTGAAAAAGGAGGAATATACACTCATTTGCAAACTAATTTGGTTTTTCGAGAGACTCACCTGGAACCCGGCTGAATCTCTCGTTTGTGATGCTCTCAGACAACTGAATGTGCTGCACACCAGACCGCCTCATGTTTCAGTCGCTACGATATTCGAGATATCGCGATACATGTATGTCTTTGTATGTACTCGAAAGGTTGCTGAAAATCCGTCGACAGCCCACGACCGGTTTCGATCGGTTTCAAGTAGAACATAAGGTTGACGGAAACCTGGGAACTGCGCCTACCTGATGAGCCCCAAGAAGGGCGAAACCGGTCGTGGGCTGTCGAAGAGTTTTCAGCAACCTTATGAGTAGTACATTACAAAGATAAACGTGAAAAATGGTTTATTCCAGACCATGTTCATCCATGTGAAACGAAATGAGGGGGTTAGGAATTTGAGTGCTCATTTGGAAACAAGGAAAATTTCGTAGGATTTCGGAGACAATACCGTACAGTTGCACGCGCCTTTTGGGAAGAGTTTGGCGTAGATTACACTATCCAGTTTCTGTTAAAATTGTACTGACAGATAACGTTATTAATCTTCGCTGTGTGCCCATTTAACGGAGGATCGGGAACATTGGTGCGCTAACATGCAAAGTGCTCACTAGACTTGATGTGATTTCTGAAAACTGGATGTGCTGTTCAATCCAAACTGCCCCTTACTTTCGTTGGGCATGAAGGTAACTTTTTGTGGGTTTACGACAGTGGAGCATCAGTGTCAACACCGATGGATCGTTAGATAGGTTCAATACCACTTATGAGACTTCTTGGACAACCCACCACCGCTTTCGCCTTTCTGGGGCTCACCGTGTACGTCACTGTAAATCAAGCCTGCGCACCGCTGAGTGCTGTACACTTGATTCGATAAAGACAAGTGTTATTTTTGGAGCAAAGCGCAATGGTTTACGCATTAGCTATTATGCACTGAAAGTCTTTCGTGTGAATTGGCATTACACCACATTTATTCCTCCATTTATCGTCACTCCGTACTTCGGACTTTGGCAAAGCTTAAATTTACCCGGTGTCAGTGTTCCACAGGGATATGAGTGGTGCATAAACGTTGACAGTTATTTCAAGTATATGATCAACGTCGACTAATGTGTCTTTGTGTGACTCGCAATCGCAAATGGAGTTTTCTGTAATACCGTATTCCATAATGTTCTGCGCAGCGAGTCCATGGCGCTAATCCGCTCAGGTTCACTTGACCACTGGGGCTCGGTTCAAGTCCTAATCTATTCATTTCCGGATTGTTTGGCTGGGATGGGAACATAACCGCGTGTGCGTAATGTGTTGCCCTTTATGTATTCCAACCAGCGGGGCAAGGCACAAGTCAGTCCGCTGAAAGTGAACTTAGTTACTAATAACATTAATGAATAACTAGCCTACACAATTGTCATATAAGCGCAGTTTCTTTTCCGTACGCTGAATGGAATCAAATATCTGGTTATTTTGATTATTCTTCATCTTTTTACCGCCCTCTATCCAGGGCTGGGCCATGGTCACTCAGATCGCCTCGGCAGCAGCAAAACGTACCAGTGAGTTGGCCTCGCAAGCCACAGAGAAGACCAAGCAACTCACTCACGTGGTCCAGGATAAGGTGAGTGATGTGGCAAGGCTGCTTCTTGTGTGTGGTGAGATGAAAACAACAAAGTGGGTTACACCCCCATGCGATAAAAAATCAATTCAGGATGGACAGAATAGCTGCGCAGTTTTATCCTTTCATTCAGAAAAAATCCATTACATGAACCCAATGCATCAAGCACTGGCCAAATCATGTTTGTATTTTCCTCAGGCCAGAACAATGTAGAAATCGAGGTTCAAATCCAGATTTTTTCTTTCCTGATTGCATTACGTTTATTGGCTGCGTGCATTCACATTCAGTCATACCAAACCACAGCTCTAACGGGCTATTCTTGTTTCCCTCTGTAGACGTTCGTAGGTTATCGTGCCACAACTTCCCCGGTAAATTACCTGTGAACTGCTGCTCACAACGATTACTGACCGGAACAGTGGCACCGGCCTCCATATGTTACCGTAGTACGCCATGAGGCCCATTAACATATCCTGTCAATGAATTTACTCCCCTTTTCACAGCGGATTTTTTTAACTATATCACAAATGTCCGGCTCCGTTCAGTTACTACATGCCATCCCGTTGTAGCAGCCTGATAAGAAATCGATATCTGGTCATACTATTTGGTTAGATATTCGCGAGTGTTTATGGATCCATCCGCGTGGCCTGTCCAGTCGTTTCATCCTTTGTAACAAAGCGAATCTAATAGCACGTTGCATGACTTCGAGATAGGGCTCTGAACTATTTTGTAACGTTCTTGATCCGCGTGAATCGCGCAGGAGATAGAAATTCAGAACCTAAGCATTCAGCGGCATATTTTCGGTCAACACCTTGATTCCAGTGCACAAAATACAGTTGTCCACTCCGAAAGGAGAACTTCCTTTTTCCCGGTGATTCGTCACTGGAAGATCCAGTTTACGCTAGATCACGTGACTTTAACAGCGTGGTTGGATTGTGAGTGGCCACATGTCTCATAATTACTCGAAATTTGTTTGCATAGCCAGCGCTTGCAAGTGAGACCTGGTTTTAGGTCCTTGTGACCCCACCCGATTCGCTTGGCTTGGATATGACTCGAAATTTACTGGGCACACTACAGCGGTGTGTTTCAAATACCAAGTGTCACGTCATATCAAATGAAACAATTCAAACCGTGAAGTTCTTTGTGGCTTTGTGGTCAGTGAAGAAGTAACATCCCGTCAAAATCACAGGACCAGTTTATCCGCTCTTGACTATTATTGGCCTTTGTCCAGTATAAACCGATCTATCTGTAAATTTTAGAGCAGTTCGTCTGCACTGTGATTATGCATCGCGTGCTTCGTAGTGTGCTCCAGCCTCCACAATTTGAATTCCTACCTTAAACCTTGATCAGAACACCGAGCAAACGTCAAGCCGATTAGCATCACTGATCACTATCGACGGTCAGGACTGATCAACCTGGTGTGTCTATCTTTACTAAGCTCACGCACCTTTTGTGCCAGCACTTCAGTGCGTTCAGTACTGTTCTGTAGTTTAAATTTGAGGGCAATGGTACCTTAAAAGTCTCGTGTACGTATCATGGGAACGGCAAGTTAATTTCACTGAAGTGTAGTGAATGGTTTTCATGAAAAAAGTGACTGTTTGCTCATTTCCAATGATGTAGCTTAACCAGCTAAGCTGGTACGATATTGCTCTTCTTATGTCAGGTAGTCCTGTCTGCGTAGGCCTGCTCCGACTGGAAATGGACGTAAGATACGCAAAACATGACACCAAAATGATGCACGAAAAAAACCTGGCGGCCTATTTTAGTCGTGTTGTTTTCTACCTTTTGCGAGATTGGGGCACCAGAGAGGTCCGAACAAACACATTCACTGACTTTGGCGCCGTTCCATTCATTCACTTGTTCCAAAGCTTGAGTTCACTATTTGCCTCGTCAGTATTTAGTATGCTCAACCAATCCGCTTTCTCATCTTGCACCGTCGGTGTGTAAATGGTGTGGCTGCCCGTCGTACACGGTTCATGGTCGAAACAATGGACTGAACTAACCTGAACTTGCCCTATTCATGTAGACAAAAGCGTCGACTTTAGGTCATCAAGTCACTCCCGCTGAAAGTGCTTTTAGCTTTATCGTGATAATTGTGTTTGTTTGTCTACCACACACAAAGGTTAGAGTTTGTTGGTCGTCAGCTGGCAACAGCATTAGACATTGGCGTCGACTAGCTTGAGCCCACTGTTTTTCTAGGAAATCACTCAGTGCTGTGATGAGATTCGAAAGTTCCTAGTCGTTTGCATCTCAATGGCATGGATTCCACAAATACCATGTTTCACTACGAGAGTTGTTTTTGTGATCAACTTTTGATTCTTCCAGGGAGGTGCATGGTTGTCCCCCTTTTTCGGACCTATGAACTTGTTATCATTTGTTACTTAAATTATCCTTTCTAGGACTGTTGCCTGTACTGACTCCAGTCTGGGTCAAAAGATTGAACTTTTCAGTGGACCTCCGACCAGTTTACACAGACCGGTTACTTACAAACAGCTTGGTAGCTGTCCGTTTTACTGTCCCGCTCCACAAACCAAGTAGCCAATTCGCCAACGGATGATCGTACTAGCTCTTTCCCTAACACATTATAAGTGTTCTTTGTTTTCTGGTGGACTAACACTTTGAGGACCATGTCGTAAATTAAATTTACTGCTTCATGGGCTGGGAGGCTGTCCCCGTACGGTGGGAAATTCCTTCCACAAAAACACTAGGGTTGTTAGAAATGTGTTCATCTGTGGGACGTTGTTTATCTTAGGGTCCCACAGAAGGGAAGCACAAGTGTACTTCATTGTGTTTCGGCAATACATCGTTTAGGATGTGCCAATACTTTGACCATACAGACTTCACTAGGTCTTCAGGAACTTGCCTGTTCACGCAGGAAGTGAGACACCGATTTTGGAAACAATCTCGATGTCTTTTGCATCGTCCTCATCCGTGAGGTTTTTTAAAGGTTCCTTCACATTCCACTATGCAACTGGTTTACACCGGAATCAGATGACTTCATCTTAGAAATAGGGCTAGTGAAATGGCAGCGTATTAAGCGTTTAGTTCCGACTGAAATGTACACTGTAAGTATCTAACAGCAGAGGAGCTACCGATCCTTCATTGCAGCCCCGCTTTCTATCTATTGGGTCAGCTTGGATGGAGTGAATGTCTTTCCGTTGGGAAATTTGGATCAATTTTATAGCTGACTCAAGCAGGACCGGTCCCCATCAAACCTTATGACCTGTGGTACGGCTTTTTATCGAACGGTCGTGCCACTAGGATTTCAACCTAGTAGGACAAACTATCCAAGTCTCCAAAAAACGACTGCTGTTTTCGATGGTAGTCTGAGCAGCAAATGTTCGAAATGTGCGTATGTAAGCGTACCTGTAAGGTGTATGCTCAGCTTCTATGGCTTGGTGTGCGAAGGAAAAAACTTCAATTATGGACTATTTTCCTGATTACCGGTTTGGAAAGCCTTTCTTGCTTGTTTATTGATTATAAGGAGGAATCGTATTCCAGAAGAATCCCGAAGAATCAACTTTGTTTTTCTTTCTGTTGGGGGGATATTACTTTCTTGATCGTTTTTTAAAAGGGCCAAACACGGTGTGAAACTAAGTGCTTTGATACGCCAACCTTTATCGCAATATCATCCTGCTATGGAGTTGTGCAAAACGTTGAGCATTGCGACCCTTTCTGTTGGGCTATTGCTTGCTTGATTGTTTTTTAAAGGGGCCAAACACGGTGTGAAGCTACGTGCTCTGATACGTCAATTTTTACCACAATATCACCCTGCTGTGGAGTTGTGCAAAACGTTGAGCATTGCGATATTCTGAGACGTGGAGCTTGCGGCTCACAATATCGATGAGTTGTAATGTGGGTTCGCAACGCCTCTGCCTAATGGACTAACGATCTACCAGTACTCAACTTGACCGTTTTGTGTAACCTCGATGAGGATCTGCACTTTGTTGTGACCCAGATACCCAAAAGGGTCTTGGTGCAAATGGTTGGAAAGTAGACTGGGATTTGGTAGTTCTTGAATTCCGAAGTCCCGCGAGGTACGTAGCATTACCAAATCGACATGCCTGGGGTGATGACGGATGCTCCACAACAGCAGTCTTATCGTGCACATCTTTTTGTATTGTGTGGAGTTCTACTGCTCCGCACTATCCTGTGATAACGTGTAGAGCGTTGTTGCAATCGTACGGTATCTTGTTATGCTGTTTCTGTTGTTGTTGTTCTGCCCTCATTTCACATCGGTGTTGTAACCCTGTGTCGTTCGTCCCCTCCCATCTCCCATCCGTCAATATGTGCATGAAGGTCAAGGATGCAAACCTGATGGATGCACTCTCCAAAGGAGTTGACAGTGTCACAGCAAAGGTAATGCTCGACCCGTTTGCTGTTTTTCGTCTCTCTTCTGTTTGTGGCCAACAATTTTTTGTACGCTTCGCATTAATCAGCTTATATTGCGGCACATATGAACTATCACCATACGGTTCTGGTAAGTTAATCCCTGGGCGTGTACTCTATGCGTCAACTCCTCGAAGCGTCAACCATATCTGGAGACAATTAGTACGATCCGGTTTATTTGTATAGCTTTGAGTTACTCCATCCATAGCGATCATACTTCGGAAACCGAATCCGTTGTCTTTGGGCGCTGCGTATTCGCATTTTACTTTATTATTGTTGCTTGGTGAAGGTGGCGTTCGTCCACAAGGGGAAAGCAGTTGGCTGGCAATAAACCAGCTTGTAGAGCTCTCCTTTGAAATAAACTCACCGGTTGATCGATATGACAATAAGAGCTTACCCGGTCACCTTTCCCGTTGCAAGTGGATCGGATAGGTTGAGTATAATTGCGCTTTGGCAACAGTGGTATCCGATTTGCTATATGTTTGGCGATCGATTAGTCACTTTGAATCGCTATACATGTTTCCCAGTGTAATCAATAAGTGACCTCATGAGGAGCGTGTGTTGCACCTGTCGCACCGGTTTCGTGAGCTCTTCGCATCTCGTTCCTTTGTTCAGCAACGAAGTACTGCATGTTTTGTAGGAAAGACATAATTTTATGGTATAGGTAAAACTCGTTACCATAATGTGTTTCCCTGTTGCGTCCATCATGTGACAAGTTTGTCGTAGGTGGGTAGCCCGTCAGCCCACTTGTCCTCGTTCAGTTTTTAGTTATACGATGAGATGATTCAGTTAGCAAAGCCAGTTAGGTAGCCTGCGCCCTTGAGTGCAATAGGAACATGTACTTGTGAATTTCCAGAATGGTGAGAAAACAATCCTCCGCAGCTTTCAAAATTACAGCTGCGACTTCACGACAGCCCTTTTCCTCGGCTTGACTTGTGTGGAGTAGATGTGCACGTACTTTCCCACTTTCAAGTTGAGCGTTTGCATGGAAATGGTGGAGGTATTCGGTAGGATTCGAACTTACCACTATTATTATTGTTATTATTTGATTCGTACGGAGCTGTTTTCGCCAAAAATCGCACAAACCATAAATGTGAAAACCGCCGTCGAATATTGGAAGTGTCTTGGAAGTGAAATTTCAACTGTGCAGCTATACGACGTACGTCGACATATCGTTTTCGTCCTCCTCAACACAATAAATAGCAATACACAAGCAGTACTTACTACTACTTCAAGCAAATCTCTTATCGTCCTGTTTTCAGTTACCCAGTTTGATAATCTCTGTGATTTCCCAATGGGAAAGGCATCGCTTTAGTTGATTGCACAGATTATACGCTAGCCTCGGTGCGACTCTTTTCACAATTCCATCCATATGAATGGCTCACTCTCCAAGTGTTTCATGACTGTTACCTCTGTTCGGCTCATCGTTTCTGTGCTGACCGACTAAGGCATACGTTGACACATCACTTCATCGAAAACTGGACTGTGTTCTGTGCAGCCCTGCCACGTCTGCAAATACCCGCGGAAACCTGGATTTTCTGCCCACTTTCTGCTTCCTGTTGTGATTGATTTTGCTGGTCTTTTCCAACCGGGATGTTGAACTGTTCTTTCTAACCGGGGTGTCGAACTGTTTTTGAGTCAAGCTTTTTTCCAGTGGCGGCCAATTAAGCGGTGACATTTCCATGCGGCTGTGGAGCGAGCAACCTGCTAGCAATTCATTCAGCACTGCCTAACGCATTATGTACTTCACTAATTTTGAACTACTCTGACATTCAGCGAAATACGATCATTTGCATACCAATTTGTTTTTTTCTCTCGGGAGACTCACCCGGAACTCAGCTGAATCTCTCATTTATGATGACTAGTGTATTACGTCTATACTCTGGCTTTTATGTGTCGGCGTAGTGGTTTGTTTTCATCCCATCGTGATGTCGCTTGCGACCGGTTGCAGATGAGACCGGTGAGTGCTTTCGTGACTCAGTTCATCTTCAACTATTGGTCCGTTTTTCTACAGCTACAAAGTGTTCGTATGCAAGGGCTTCGGGGCCTCGAATCCTACATGGGCACCAGCGGATCGCAATACACCATCGAAGTTGGTCAAGAACCTGAATTTAGAGGCGGCTCTTCGGTTGGCCAGTATGGATCCACCGCCCAGGGGTAAGTGGTTTCCCTCTTTTCTGGTTTGTGATTCTTCTGTGTACTGCACAGACGGTCCTAGGAAAAACAAACTCTTCCGCGATAGATATATTACTCACACTTCATAAGTTACGCGCGCTAGAACATGTACTTTGCATGCCAGAAGACCGTCTGGCTCGCAGAGCTCTTGGCCCAGCTCTATTCTGGGTGAAAACGACAGAGAGGTGGACAGTGTACGACCTGGCTACGAACTACGAAAACACTAACCAGTAGGCTTAGTTGGGTGGGCAATTACCGCCTCCCTGGATGGGAACCCTGAGACTCAACTCACCGATGACTAATAACATTGGCTGAAATGGCTCAATGGCTGAGTCAGTGGCGCTCATGCATCAAAGCTAACACCTTCAATGTGTAGCTATCCGATTTCCGAACAAATTGAACATATCATCTCCTGTTTTCCGGTGATCGAAACCGTAGCAGCTGTAACCATGGTGCCTATGGCAAACGGTTTATATCTGATAGATTAAATTGATCATTTTACACGTATTTTTCAGGGTTGTCTAACTATATGGTCAAACGTGTTACCTTTCTTCAGCTCCTCTTATCCTTTCATTTATCCTTCTGTGTTTAGTTTATTCATAGAATAAGGAACGTGGCAATGAAACTTCTACGCTTTCTGCACACGTGTACACCCATTTGCTCAGTAGAGTGATGTGATTGGATGCAAGAAATGTATCGTGTATCATGTGCAAACATCCGTCTATCTTCAGTGCTGGACACAAAATTTACCGACCAATCTACCAAAAGTCTCGACCTACATTGGTGTTGTGGTCGTTAACAACCCTTCGATACACATCGGCATGTCTTGATTTCTGCGACCTTGTACATTCATGCTAATTTAACTACGGTTAACGACCGTTAAGGTGCTGTTAAAATTCTTCGGTCTTCTAGGTGACGCATAAAACAGGTAAATTGTTTTGAAAGCTGCATATTCCAGCTTCCAGCAGGCTCCGATATCGATGCAAACAGCCATCCGTCGGCCGACATTGTTAAGCACCTATTCGTGGATTTGCTCTGATCAACATTTGGGCTGTTGTACCATTATCCGCAGGACGTTTTCCTTTCTCATCACTCCTCGAGGCAGTATCTATTCAAAATACCGGCATCAGTGAAGAGTTGTGAAATACGTTCAAGGCTGACCTATTGAACGGACCACCCAATGCACACAATATGTTTCCCTCAAATTTCACAAGACAGAGGTTATTTCCGACCCAACGCAGACGGCATGTAATTCAGCGCCAAAGGAATGTCTTCGGGACATAGTCTTTATGAGGCATCGCCGACCGACTTAGCACATGAGAGTATTTCCAAGATAGTACTACTCTTGATGGTTTTATGAGTCCAGCAATCCACGCGTCTTTCGCATGACCAGGAACCCTGCTGCTACACCAGACCAGGAAGTGGGACTCCATCACTGATTCCACATTTAGACGTCCACATGGTAACTCAATTTGGCTTCGGAAAGGATCATTCGGGTAATGGTGGAACGCAAAACGCAACACCATTGGGCTGCTTACACTGGACTGGGTTATCAGGCACATGTCTGGTAGATGTAGCGAGTAAAAAAACCAATCACTTCTCCCAGCTTCAACTTCGTAATTAACGTACGACTTTCGACGTACATCTTCCGTTAGAACCGAACTATTTGATGAAGCAGTTGCCACACTTTCACAAGCCTGTTTTCTTCTTCCCCTAAGGGGTATCTTACCTTGAAATTTTAAGCGGGTAGCCTGTTCAGTCATATCCTAATAACCAGGCTACAATTCGGCAATACGTAGCGGAATCCAAGTTCTTCTGTTCCTCGTTCGATGACCTGGGGTACATTCGGATGTTTTGCTCGTGATTCATGCTGCCGTTCATGCGGCAGCCCTGATTAGCTGTCGCCAACAATTAGTCCAAAGATTCTCTGTTTTAGGATTCCTAGCCCCTCCGGTCAGAAAGCAGCTCACTTCTACACTGATGTCGATGAGGATTGGAAATGGGCTGAAGTGAAAAAACCTGAAAACGAGGATTCTAAAGGCGGTAAGTCTAGCTTTTTTTCCTCCACATGGTGTGAATCCTTATAGCTAATGAGTAAAATGTTTCTACTCCAATCCTAGCATCAGTTCTAACCATTCCGTGTGAGCTGTCGATGACTTATTGTGTGGCACCATCTCTCTGTTTGTAGACTGGGATACACCGGGTAGTGGAAACGGCGCTGAAGAGAATGATGACAGCTGGACTGCTCTAGAATGGGACTCTGTGGACCCTGCGCCAACCGAAGACAGTCGTATAACCTCTCGTCGTTCTGGTAATCCAGGCCGAAATCGCAAGGACAGCTGATTTCACTACCCACTGTCCGACGATCCTTTTGTAATTCTATCTCATATTAGTCCTCTCTGGAACCTGTCATCACAATCATGTACGTTGTTGTCAAAGGTTGCCGTTAACAGCGGACGTTATCGCCCGGCTTTGCTTCTCCTTCTACTTATGTTTTTATCCTCTCCAACTGATCGATCACTTTGTTGGGTAATAATTCCTTTATTCTTCATCGATATTCCTATTGTGATATTCTTTTTTGTCCCTCGCTTTGTCCTCTTTTTTGATAATCGAATAACGTGCGCACGCACGCACAGGTGAACAGACTGGTCGATGGTTGACTTTGGTGGGACGGCTGTTTACTTTATTGGAGAAGAACCTGGACGCATTTTGCGGTGGAGTCATCCTCTTTTATTCCGAATCAAGATACTGTGTAACTGCCGCGTTCTGTTAGTTTTTCAGATCCGCACACTTGACGGTCGTGTATCTGGGTCGGTCTAGGAAACACCTCGTATCCTATCGATTTTTTGAATTTAACTGAAATATACTCTTGAGGAGATTAATCACCCTTCATGTAAAAACTCAGCCATGGGTTGACAGAACGGCTCTGGATTAGGTTGCATCGTGTTCGGTGTGTTGTGATTCATAGGAAGTTCTGGATCAGCTTCATCGAAAATTCTGATCAGTAAGTATTTCACCTGATCGTAGCGATCTCTTCTGAACTAAGGCATGTTTGCAGTTCGGAACAGATGGCTAGGAGGTTCTATGTAATGAACAAACGAGTCGGCACTCCATGCTCCGATCGAAAACCACTCGTGGATGGCCTCTGTTGTGAGGGCTTCATTTCAACCAATTTTACGAACAATATGTCTAAATATTGGTATCTCAGCTGGGTTGATGAACTGTAGTTCGGGTGGCAGTTGATCTTTTCGGCGTGTTTAGCAATTGGCTTGCGGATGTTTCGTCTGGGACTATCATCAGTGCGCAGTTGACTGCAAATAGGAGATTAACAGCCGATCTTACGAGTTTATGATCAAAAGGCTCTAACTTAGATCATCGGCAAACTGAAGTCTGTGCCCCTCTGTAAAAGATTCATCTATAAATCACCAGCGTTGTTAAGTAAGATCACTTGTCCTTTATGGAGTGTACTTTGTGCTAGAATACTGAGAACTTGCAGGCAGCAATACATCAACAGAAAATACGTAGGTGTATTCAAGTTCTGCTCGATTGAACCTTGAGGCGACCTTTTTGTGCAACGTTCGGTTGGCGAATAGGATAAACGGGAGGTTGATTGGAGTCTCAGATTGACACCACCTGGGTCCGCGCTTGTGGTTTTAATGACTACAGATAGGACCCCTTGTGGGGGTCTTGACTCTGCAAATACCCGTGGAAAGCTGTAGTGCAGAACTTCGTTTCTCTCAGGTGCTTCTAACAATCCCTCTGCCGGGCCGGCAGCCACTGAAGTGTCCGTCGTCGCCGTTTGGTATTTCGTCACGTTAGAGCAAGGTAGCCCTAACAGTGTTTGGTGTGAAACAATCGGCGCTTCAGCTCACACCCAAAAATACCCATACATGCTGGTATAGGAATTCACATATTGGTCCGTTCACACGTCTACCACCGTGCTTACAGCTTACATAGTCATTGTATGTACGCTCCTTCGCCGAAATTGCTCTCCTCAGACGTCTGGGTTAAATACCTAGGCCCTGAACTGCGCCCGCTGCCCACTGAACCAAGAAAGTTAGCTTTCTCTCGTGTAACTTATATGTAACCCCAACTATCGATCGTCGTACGTGAGCGTTGCGCGTATCGAAGAAAGCGAATTCAGTTATGATAGATCTGAACTGAATGTCTCGATTTGCAACAATTCCAGTATGCAGTTTAACTTAGGCAGTCGTAGCCGTCTGAAATTGTAAAAAAAACACCATGCACACTATCCTTTATCTTGTCGTTCGTTTGAAGTGTTGACTTCATTTGTCAATTAGGTGAATGCAAGTGCACCGTATTATTGGAAATCAATACTTTATAGTGATACAAAATGAACAATGGATTGTTCCGTCTAGCGCCTATGCAAATCAACCCATGGCCTTTTCAAACTCACGTGATGTGAATAAACCACAGTGCTCAACAATGCTGAATACGTGAGAACCATATGTTCACCGTTAAAGGTCTGAGAAAGTGGTGAGCACTTGTTATACACCTCCGTGGGCTCTGATTGGTTCTTAAAACCGTCAACTAAACTGCTGGTTTACGTACACCGTATAAATCCGTTACAAAACCATTCCCTAATCATATTCGTCTGCAAGTATTGCTGGATATATACTCCCGAATAGTACACTATGGGTCTGACCATCGTCCGTGAGGAGTTCCAAGCGGAAGCCAAATCAGTTTGCTAATGAGTGTATATTCGCTAATTTCGTGTAATTTGGTTTCAAGCAGAACATAAGGTTGACGGAAACCCGGGGACTGCGCCTACCTGATGAGCCCCAAAAAGGACGAAACCGGTCATGGAATGTCGACGGATTTTTAGCAACCTTATGAGTAGTGCATTACAAATATTGTTGGAAATCGTAAACCACGCTCTTCTGACAACCCACGAAGTGATGATCTAAGGGGGAATTTTCAGCATCACGACATGTGAACTTAGGCTACCTTTAAATACGTAGGTGTATTCAAGTTCTGCTCGATTGAACCTTGAGGCGACCTTTTTGTGCAACGTTCGGTTGGCGAATAGGATAAACGGGAGGTTGATTGGAGTCTCAGATTGACACCACCTGGGTCCGCGCTTGTGGTTTTAATGACTACAGATAGGACCCCTTGTGGGGGTCTTGACTCTGCAAATACCCGTGGAAAGCTGTAGTGCAGAACTTCGTTTCTCTCAGGTGCTTCTAACAATCCCTCTGCCGGGCCGGCAGCCACTGAAGTGTCCGTCGTCGCCGTTTGGTATTTCGTCACGTTAGAGCAAGGTAGCCCTAACAGTGTTTGGTGTGAAACAATCGGCGCTTCAGCTCACACCCAAAAATACCCATACATGCTGGTATAGGAATTCACATATTGGTCCGTTCACACGTCTACCACCGTGCTTACAGCTTACATAGTCATTGTATGTACGCTCCTTCGCCGAAATTGCTCTCCTCAGACGTCTGGGTTAAATACCTAGGCCCTGAACTGCGCCCGCTGCCCACTGAACCAAGAAAGTTAGCTTTCTCTCGTGTAACTTATATGTAACCCCAACTATCGATCGTCGTACGTGAGCGTTGCGCGTATCGAAGAAAGCGAATTCAGTTATGATAGATCTGAACTGAATGTCTCGATTTGCAACAATTCCAGTATGCAGTTTAACTTAGGCAGTCGTAGCCGTCTGAAATTGTAAAAAAAACACCATGCACACTATCCTTTATCTTGTCGTTCGTTTGAAGTGTTGACTTCATTTGTCAATTAGGTGAATGCAAGTGCACCGTATTATTGGAAATCAATACTTTATAGTGATACAAAATGAACAATGGATTGTTCCGTCTAGCGCCTATGCAAATCAACCCATGGCCTTTTCAAACTCACGTGATGTGAATAAACCACAGTGCTCAACGAAACCAATGCTGAATATGTGAGAACCATATGTTCACCGTTAAAGGTCTGAGAAAGTGGTGAGCATTTGTTATACACCTCCATGGGCTCTGATTGGTTCTTAAAACCGTCAACTAAACTGCTGGTTTACGTACACCGTATAAATCCGTTACAAAACCATTCCCTAATCATATTCGTCTGCAAGTATTGCTGGATATATACTCCCGAATAGTACACTATGGGTCTGACCATCGTCCGTGAGGAGTCCCAAGCGGAAGCCAGATCAGTTTGCTAATGAGTGTATATTCGCTAATTTCGTGTAATTTGGTTTCAAGCAGAACATAAGGTTGACGGAAACCCGGGGACTGCGCCTACCTGATGAGCCCCAAAAAGGACGAAACCGGTCGTGGAATGTCGACGGATTTTTAGCAACCTTATGAGTAGTGCATTACAAATATTGTTGGAAATCGTAAACCACGCTCTTCTGACAACCCACGAAGTGATGATCTAAGGGGGAATTTTCAGCATCACGACATGTGAACTTAGGCTACCTTTTTCATCGACTGTTAAGCCTGAAAAGTAGGAGTTTCAATCGGTCGGAATGTCAATTTGTGTATGAGTGTTTCCCTACCGCTAAATATTCTAATTTCAGTCCGTATCAGTAGTATTTTTGCCCATGGATTTGTCTCATCCATTGTTCACATGCACACCGACATTGCACGCACCTTTTTCTGTTTAGAAGACGAACTTGGCAAATAACCGAGCAAATGAACATGCTGTGGGTGTCTGTTTACTGAACCTTGTGTCACGTGATCAATATGGCGGAGCACAACCATGGAAAGTTTGAGCCCAACATTTTCCATTTCAACGAGTAAATGGCAAGCGACCTATTCACTCAAGCGGTCTTTTGACTCAGGTAGTTAAACGTCAACCCTATTTCATCCCTCCAGAGCAATCGCAGATAATCTAGTGATGAATAAAGTTTGTTAGGTGTGGGTGAATCAATAAATCTGAGATCAATAATTCTGAGATCACTGGCTCGCGCAATTTGAATGTATCAAACACAGAAAAATAATCGAGCTAGCTCAGATGGAAAGAATAAGATGCTCAAAATAAAAATGAATCTTTGAAAATTGGGTTTGATTTTCCAGCACTACATGGATGACCACTAACCCTTGCAGAGTCGTAGCTTGAAATTCACTTACAATTTTGTCTATACGTGCCTCGAATGAGCTTATATGTGATATTCATTACTTCCTGAAGTTAGTAAACGAACATGTTGTAGATGGCTTATCAATTTTGCATCTGAATGTACTAACGCTTCATCAACCTTCCACGGAATCAAGGACTTCTCACTGATGGCCGTCCAATTTCATGCTAAAAATCTTTCTTGTCATGGAAGGCGCGCAGCACGGACTGGGCGTATTTGCTGGTCGAGGTGCTACAGTGAAGGTTTCTTTTTGGAGTGAACATAGCACCGAGTGAAGCGGATGGTGCTAAAAGGGTAAAAAGATTATGGGGACATTCCAGCTTGACATATTTGCACTGAAGAGAAGCTGTTTGCGAGACTTTAAGTGTTGAGCTGATAGGTAGCCTCAAGTCATGACAGGGAAGGGAGTTCCGTATGGAAGCTCTTGAATATTACAGCATCATTTGTTCAGGATTTGACGGTCAAGTACCAAGTTATCGATGTTATCCAGAGAGCACTCTTTCTGTTGACTAGATTTCAGATGCCGCTTAACTTTGAGACAGCTCGAGCGTTTATCAGTGCCTAGGACTGCTAAACTTAGATAGCCTTGTCGGTTTGAGGAGGGATTAGGAATTTTCGAATGCGCAACCAGGAACCTCAAGATGCCTGTTCTCCATATCAAAATCCCTTGAAAACTAGAGTGAAGCAGTTATGGTCACTCGTTTAAGAAAACTGAGGTAGTATTCTTAGGATAAATTATAAGACTTTATTTTGAGAAGGCGATCAATATCTGGCCGAGGAACAGA